CCTTGGATCACTTAGGCAAATGCTGAGGCAGTAATATTCCACAGATAATCTTTCATTCTCTTCTGTCTTCATTTCGTCCGTCTCATCTTTCTCACCCAAACCACCACCCACCCATTCCCACGATTCCTGAAAGCAGGCTGAAGAGGGCCTTCCGCCCTACCTTCTGGCGTAGTCTGAAGGGACTGCCCGCCTAGCACCTTTAGTGACTGGTAGGAATGAAACACCCAAAAGTTTTTTTTCGCATCCCTAGTATATGTTGATGTCCATCTTTAATAGAATTAAGACAAAAATTTGAAGAATCCACAAATCCAGCAATTGTTTCAACGTCATCGTCATCGGTAAACAGAAATAGATTTTTAATATTGTTAACAATGAGAGATCAGTGGTGTAACGGCGAATTGTGAAAGCGCTGCCCTTCCTCTGTGCCACCCCCACCCCCTTTTATATATGTTGCTGTGAGATATACTCAAATAATCTCTAAAATATCATTGATTACATTAGTATTAGTAGATTCATGTTAGGGGTCGTTCACATATTACGTAATAATAACAGAGAAAGGGGTTCTTTAGAAGTATTGNCCTAATTTTATTCTATAAGCGACTATAAAAAGGATAGTAAATATGTATTTATGCTACTTAAGTGACATCACGCTATTATAATTGCTGTTTAAAGTGAGCAAACACATAGCAAATTAGTAAAATTTATAACCCCAAATAACCGCAAGTTATCACGAAATGACTATTTTACCTACTAGATTAGTGTATTTTATTTATGGCAATCGATTGCTATTTTATTGTTTTCACTTTTCGCTTTATTGCTATCTTTGTTGTACGAGAGAATAAGTGTTGGCTTTATATAAATAAATAGAAGTACCAAATTGCTTTTAAATGTCCACATTAACGCAGCATTGACTGATTGATCGTAAAACTGCTTATCTTAGTTCTAAGATACTCTTGAAAAAGCTCATTAAGTCAAAACCACTGTACAGTCTACGTTGCATTAATGTGAACGTTTAAAAGCAAAGAATCAATTCCGATCCGACGAGATTTGAACCTTGACGAAACTCTTGTATACTTCGCTTAGTTTCTCTAGCATTAGCTTGACCGGTGTAAAGTAGAAAAGAACAGCACTAGGCTAGAAAAGGAAGGAGACAACTCTCGGACAAACTCTCAACCGGTGAGGAGTGTGTAATCCGTACAGTACTGCACGGAAAAATTGACCATTTTATCCACCAAAATTGCATTGCTCAAATGTGTTGTTATTAGTACCAATTACTACTGAAAATATCAACGAGATGTTTATTTATATTTAAAGGTTTTAAAACTTGTTTTCGACACGCACTTCTGTTCATGATTGAACAATACTTTTGGCAAGTTCTGTACGAAAAAGTATGTTTAATGTACAAAAGTCGAGAATATAATGAGCTGTTTTCACCCTACCTCCAATTTTGACAGTGCGCATCCAAGACATTAGAAGGGGCACATTGCTAGAGAAAGTAAACGAACTATACAAACTAGAGTGGGTGGATCGGCTTGCGAGTTTCGATGATTTAGCGAGCCGAACCATAGGTTCAACCATAATGGGGGGGGTTCTTAAAGAGAACCCAGACTAAGACAAGTCCCTAGAAGAGGGCAGCAGTTCTTTCAATAGGGTGGTAGAGATGACGAGAATCGGTATGACACTCTGATGCACAATACTGCGATGTGAAAGTGAACGGGAAAGCACCTCATTATGATCCCGAGTAAAACGTACTACACAAATTAAATGATGGCGTCCTTTGGGGTGAAGCACTTCGGACGTAAACTAGTCTACCAGTCGGATGTCCGGATGGGGACTACTTCGGAGGATGTCATCACTAAGTGCAATTGGGGAAAGTCCAATATTTTACGAGTTGGAGCGTGGAATGTTAGCACAATGAGACATGAATTTTGAGATAAACATAATTTAACCGTCGCAAATACTTTATTCAACCATCACGTTAGGAAGCACTATACGTGGAAGATACCAGGCGATTTAGGGAGATATCAGGTAGATTATATCCTTCTTAGGCAAAGATTTAAAAATCAGGTGAAGGACTGTAGGAGTTATCCAGGAGCAGATGTAGACAGCGATCATAACTTAGTAGTTATGAAGACCAATCTTAAATTGAAAATTCTGAAAAAGAGGGAAGGTAGAAGACGTTTTGACTTAAAAAAGCTAAAATGTAAAGAAACGCCTGATAGGCTAGGTAAAAGGACACACGAAATACTAAAGGCGGCGGGAGAAACGAACGACGGGGACATAGAGACAGAATGGAACTGCATTAAAACGTGTCTAAAGTCAGCAGCTACAGATATACACGGTCTTAAACAAAACGAAAGTAGGAAACCCTGGATAACAAATGAGATTGTAGGATGAATAGAAGAAAGGCGGAAATACAAAAACAGGACAGGCGAAGAAGGGCAAAAAAGATACAGGGTTATAAAGTGGGAAATAATAAGGAAGTGTAGAACAGCTAAGGAACAATGGATTGATATGAGGTGTAAAGAAGTAGAAGAAAAGTTTGAAGTAGGTAAAACGGATGAGGTTTATAATATAATTAAAAGGAATTTTTAGAGATGCAGGGTACAGTAGTAATAATATAAGAAACGAGGCAGGGTTATTTTGATAGAAAATGAGGAAAAGGCAGATTGGTGGAAAGGATATTTAGAGAACCTATACTCAGACAATGAATTAGAGAAGGAGGATAGTGTGGAGATAGATGAGCTAGGTTATCCCATACTGAGAGAAGAGTTCAATGTAACATTAAATAATAATAAGGCGCCAGGTTTAGATTGAAGTCAATAAGAAATAGGTGAGATAGGTTGGTAGGACATCTTCTCAGGCATGAAGGTCTAGTCAGAGACATATTAGAGGCAGAAGCGGGAGTTAGGAAGGGGAGAGGTAGACCAAGATTAGATTACTGTTCACAAATGGTTAAGGATGTGGGATGTTTTAGTTTTAGAGCAATGTAAAGATTAGCTCGTGATAGCAGAAAGTGGAGGTGCATGTCTAACCAGACACAAGTCTTTAGATTGACGACCTTATGACGATGATTATGATGACAGTCATTCAAGAATTTTAAAGTTAAAAAAATAAAGACAAACATTCATTAATTCAGATCTTCAATTATTTGTTAAGTTTGAGAGGTGAAAACTTTTTCCACTCTGACATCATCATTATCATAAGGTCCTAATACAATTTCCATACGCATCTCCACTTCCTCCTTTCTTGCTCCAATCTTCGCATATAAAATTAAGATCAGTTTTCTTTCTTCAACTACCAAGTGTCCATCTTAAATTATTATTTGATTCTTATACAATTCACGGCCTCATTGATGTTAGTGAAGATGCGAATGTACATAAATTACACTAGCAATTAATACAATCATTTATGTCGAATCCTTTCGCTGGCTGCTACTTTTACCTCTAGTTTTTCCGTACGCATCAACAAATAACGGAATGACACTCAGCAGATGTATGCAAGTCAAAAAAGTAAATAAAGATCTATTAACAATAACGACAACAAAAAGACAAACAAATGGACGGCAAAGCACAGCACACTTTTCTTTCGAACAAGTTCATTGACGCGTTTCACGGATGACCGCAAGTTCAATGTCGAGAACGAGAAATTTCACCTTGCAAATAAGCACTTGAATACATTTATATATGCATGTATTTATGTATTATGTCTACATATAGAACATACGTATAAGTGTATGTTGTTTAACACGGATGTAAAACTATATGTACTCATGTTGTGAATTGTGTATTGGCGCAGCACGCGTTTCTAAGTAGGCACTGACCAAGTTATTCACTTTTTTTTTGTTTTTCAATAAGAAATAAAAAAACTGGTCATGTGCGACTTGGATTTGCACATTGAAGTTTCCAGAATATGGAAAAGTCTAGAAAGTGTATTTGTAACGGGGACTTTTTCTATGAAACAAATAATGCAAATGTTGTATGCAGTCGTGGGATAAAAAGTTATCCGGAGACCACTTGAAAATTGCGTTGTTGAACTTCCGGTTTACTAGAATGTTTTCAAATAAAACTAATAGTAGCGAATTTGGTTGATGTTTTTAATAAGAAAGTTTCTTACATACTAACTAACAACTTTAA